TCAGGGGTTTGGCAATGAGAGCATAATTTTTAATAAATTTTCTGTAGTAACCAGCCAACCCCAAGAAACTCCTTAATTCCTTAATATTTGTAGGCTTGGGCCAATCTTGTACTGCTTTAACCTTCCTTGGATCAGTAGCTACACCCTCTCCTGAAATAAAATGCCCCAAATACTCCACCTTCCCTGCCCCAAACTTGCATTTAGAAGCTTTAGCTACTAGTGTATGAGTCTTCATGATCTCAAAGACTTGCCTTAAATGAGTAACATGAGCTTCCACTGATTTGTTGTATACCAAGATATCTTCAAAAAACACTAGCACAAATTTTCTCAAGAGTGGTCTGAAAATATGGTTCATGAGGCCCTGAAAAGTAGCTGGAGCATTGGTTAGCCCAAATGGCATAACCAAAAACTCATAGTGCCCAGAGTGTGTCTTGAAGGCAGTTTTAGGAATGTCATCCTTAGCCATTCTGATTTGATGATAACCAGCCCTTAGATCAATTTTGCTAAACACCTTAGCACCTGCTAATTCATCAATAACCTCCTCCACCAGTGGAATTGGAAATTTATCCTTTATGGTTTGCTTATTAAGTTCCCTGTAATCTACACACAATCTCCATGACCCATCTTTCTTTCCCACCAGAACCACGGGGAAGGCAAATGGGCTGCAACTAGGTTGGATTATGCCCTTATCCAACATTTCCTCAATCAACCCTTCAATTACATCCTTTTGTTTAAGAGCATATCTATAAGGCCTGATGCTTATAGGGGTGGCACCTTGTTTCAGAGGTATCCTAAGGTCAAATATTCCCCTGCTAGGTGGTAATTCAGAAGGTTCCTTAAACAGGTCATTATATTCGGTTAGAACTTCAGAGATAAAGGGATGATGATCCTCTGATGAGATAGAGAAGCATTGCCATCTTTCCTCAACTTCCACTGTTTCTACTGACTCCTCTGAAGGATTTGTAACATGCACATGTGATAAGATTCTACCATTGTTCTAGGTAGTTGAGATCCCTCCACCATTTTAACCTTAGGACCTTGCAGACCTCTTAAGATGTAACCCTTTCCATTGTAGGTGAACTCCATTTGCAATTTCTTAAAATTCCATTTAATAGTGCCTAGAGTACTTAGCCATTGTACTCCTAGGACTACATCACAGCTTCCCAAGGGAATCAAAAACATGTCAGTACTGAAGTCAGTACCTTTAAATCTCCATCTGAAATTTCTGCACAAATACTGACATTTCAATGTGCTTCCATCAGCCACTGTTACTGGTTGTAATGTGGTAGCCTCCAGCTTGCAACCCAATCTCTTGGCCAGATCAATATCCAAGAAATTATGAGTACTACCAGAGTCTACTAAAATTTGTATGGCCTTCTTCCCATAATGACCAGTGACTCTCATTGTTTGGTACCCCTCAATGCCATTGACAGCATGGAAAGAGATGCAGGGTTCAGTTTCCAATATTTCAAATTCCCTGTTGCTATTCTCAGGGTACTCTTCTTCTTCTTCTACTTCTCCTTCTGTTGAATCTTCTCCAGGGATTTCTACTAGAAACAATTGAGTTTTTCTAGTTTGACATTGGTGACCCTTCACATAGGGCTGATCACAAAAATAGCATAGGCCTTTAGCACTCTTCTCTGCTCTTTCTGCTGCAGTTAAGACTTTGGTAGGCCTAAAATTCCTGGCAGTGCTTTTAGTTGAATCGGTATCACTGAATGTTGAAGT